ATGGGGGAAGGCCGCCTCGCGTATCTTAATAAGGTAACCATACTGCCCTTTGGGTGAGGAGAAATGCACAAGCTCAGTAGGCGCCGCCTGATCGAATCCAAGCGTTGCAAAGACCTTCCCAGTAATAGTGATGAAAACCAAGTATCCCTCTCCTAGAACAAAGTCTACGACCTGTCCAACACTCTTATGCTTTTGGATTTCTGCAAGAGCCTCCGCTGGAATACCCTTCGGAGGGTTCTCTAGGTAGTTGGTGCCTTTTATAATCCTTACGTTGGGCCTATAGCGCCCTGTATCGGACTCACCGGTGTCTGCAGGTCCCCAGACCACGATCCCAATGCCATATATCAGTGCTGCACAGCGGTCCCACCCCCCAACAACCTTCTTGACCCATCCTATATCTTCTGCAACCTTCCCAACATTATCGGGTGTCAGATACCCGGGATCAGAATCATTGACCGTAACACAAAAGTCTACACGTTGCGCCCCCTGTGACTTATTTATGCAAGTATATACACGTCCCTTGTTGGACAGTGCAATAAGGTGGCCACGCCCGGCAGAGAGTTGAAAAATTGGCTCGGGGAATCTGATCTCAGCAGTGGAGCCTTGCTCACTGCCCAGGCGGCCAGATATATAGACATGCCCATCCGAGGTGAGGAAGCTCGTGCTCCAACCTCTATTGTCAAATTTCAGTATCACTATCTTCACATCTATTCAATAAAAGTGGAGAAATACTCACCCAGCAACCATGTCCACCACAAACTTGTTTCTTAGCCCCAATATCTCGAACGATATAGCCACTGAATACGGAGACCGCATGTAACGATCCGGTAGTGGTCGATCATGTCCGAGTTTTCCATCGGTATCCTGGCCCCAGGTATACACACGGGCCTTAGCCATACCCCGGAAGAGGTACCGCCAAGGAACCTTGTTGATAAGGCTATCGACGTGAGGAGTCTTGAAGACCCTCTGGGCCTCGCGTTTCCAGTAACCGGTCTCTTCGTTATACAGGGTGTTGTGGAAACCTTTCTGAGGAATTTTTAGCTCAGTTGCACGTGCATAACAAGAGGGAGGATGAGCGAGACCGATGTCCTTGAGAGGTTAACAGCTCCCTTGTATCCGACATAATCAAGGATACGATCCAGGATCTCACCAGCTAAACTTTGTGGTTCAGCATCTCGTCAGTCAAAAGTTAGTGGAGGAAGACTCACGGAAATCCCCCAGGTTCAAAGGTCTGGAGGACATGGCGGGCGGACTCGGTAGTGGCTAAAGTAGAATCTTTATATTTGGGATGGCAGGTTCGTAGGTCGTAAAGCTAGATGAGGTTGTATTATCGAATAGCGGTGTGCGTGTGAATGGTGAGCTCAGTGCTGCAGTGCGAGGTTGGAAGGTTGAACTTATTCTCCGGGTCAAGAAAAGGAAGAAGCCTTGTTGGATACCGGTATGATGTCATACCGTATCGTACTCGAGCACGATACAAGTACCTAACTTACTGTAACTAACTTGCCACAGAATTCTGCATACAAAACTCCCAGACCTGTGAATTACTGTAGAATTGCCTTGCCATAGTAGCCGGAGAGATTAACTCCAAAAACCGTACTACCAATACACATCTATCGTAACTCAGATACCGCCGGCGATAACCCGGTGTTAATAATCCTCGTAAACTTCATTGCGTACTGTACTTGTACTCGGGTACATGGCTCTTCTGCTCCAAGGATTCTATTGGTACTGGGAGTAGATTTCCCTTGCTCAAGCTCGTTACGAAACTACCATTACTCGTAGTATTGCGACGGCTTGGAAAATAGGCAAATTTGCTCTCCGCATGGACGATTGTCTAATGTATGTAATAGACTATCTTACCTGCTCACAACTTCAACTCGGCCCTTCTGATACTCGAGTAGCTTACCGGTACTGTACCATGATGCCTCCAAGAACTCCCATCGCATAGTCTACGAGTGCCGCCGATTAATATATTGGTCACATGAGATTCTCCCTTAGAGCAGCATGATAGCAATGACAAAATCGCCATCATGGTCACTGTAGTTTAGACTTGGTTCAACAACCAGACATCCCCGGTTCTGCCTTATATCTTCTCTTAATTACTCTAAACACATTTGACATGGGATGTACAAGTGGAGCAGCAGAGATTCCACTTGAGTTGTGTTGTGTGATCCTCACTCTTCATTTATTTACCGATAAAACCTGGATTGAAATCTCAAAATACCTTCTTGTTCATCCCGAGTCTGCATGTCGCATATGTCAGAAAGCTAAGGTATATGACAAAAACAAAAGTAGTGTATAATAGCTAAAAGTATATAATAAAATAGGAGCGAGCAAGTGATCAGAATGACTTCCGGGACTTGTATGCTGTCCTTCAAAGCCTCAATCGTCCTGGGCAGCCTGAAGTGATACCTGAATATTCTGAGAAGTCACTTGCACTGAAGAGTGCCTCGCAAGATAACGGGAGTACAGGATATCAAAAAACCTTTCCAGAGATAGCAAGAGAATTGGGCATTAAGGCAGCCCGTTCTACAATTAAACGTGTGATGCACAATCATTACAATATTTACCGATTTCCTCCCTCACAGCCTAAACCATCATTGAACATGTACCATAAAGAAGGTAGAATGAACTTTGTATTCTGGGCTATTCGTATGGATCCCAGATAAATAATCTTTTTTTTTTTTTTACAGTCAAATCCTGCTGACCTTAATTTCAATAATATGGATTCCTCCAACTATTCCATATGAAATGCTGTAAATTCAAAAGATTTCTACAGCAAAACTTGACATATTTTTCCTCATTACTTACGGTAACAAACTAATTCATTTGATTTTGGTCATCTGGAATAGCAGGATATGACTGTATATTTAATTTATTATATTAATACTAATATATTATAATTAGATATTTTGTGTACTCCGATGAGACTTGGGTTGAGATTGGCTTACTGCACCGGCCTCCAAATATCTTCCATTGTAACGATCCCTCTCTGGATAGTTAGTGCTTGGCGACGGGGAACGATACTTCTCTTCCTGTCTTCTTCTTCCTTTGTTTTATGATAGCTCTAGGCCTCTGCCTACGTTACCGATAGTACAAGACCCTTGTCTTCTACCGGGAACGCCTATCGTAAGCTTTCTCTAACTCTTCTTCGTAAAGCGCCTTCGTTGGCGTAACAATAATGTTGCAATAAAGATAAAGATCGTAAAGGTGTTTTATATTCGTTAAAGTAATAAGTAGGAAAAGTACTTAGAACAAAGCGTGAAGAACCTATCTTCCTCAGCCGCATCGGCTTCCTTATATAGTGTTCTTCCCACCTTTAGTCATATGACCTAAAGTGGTCACATGTGCGAAACTAAATCATAACAAACTAGTCATATGACCGAAGTGGTCACATGCTCAAAACCCATGACCTCATAGCGAGGTCATGTGCAAAACTCATAAACCAATCATAACGCAATAAACAAGTCATATGACTCGACTGAGTCATATGCACGAAACCCATGACATCATAATGAGGTCATGTGCGAAACATAAATCATATGCGCAAGGCTTACCCGTAAGGCACACTCGTAAGGCATACTCGTCAGGCGCATGTCCCATGACTCATACTTGAGCCATGTGCGAAAGCATCACAAATCGCACACATAACAAATCATATAACCCGAATAGGTCATATGCGCGAAACAATAACATACCTGTGACTCATAACCATGTGTCACGTGAAAACCCTTTCCTCGCTAAGCCACATTTGTGACATTAGCTCCCCTTCTCCTAAGACTGAGTCCCATCAGGCTTTTTCTCCCAGTTTCAATAGTTCCCGTCCTGCCGAGCGCATACTCCTTCTCAGCTTGTGGAACTTTTCGTCTGCCGTCCTCCATCTGACCCTTACCGATTCCAGAGTCAAATTCGCCATCTCAATCGTGTACCGCTGATTGTCGTTCACGTGTCTAAGTTCCGCGATCGTTTTGTTGTTTGGCAAAATTGTGGCCTCGGCTTGGCTCAGTTGTTCTCGGAGTCCCCGGATCTGCCTGTGTAGGCTCCTGACATCCGGTTCCGTATCTGCGGAGGAGTTTTGGGCCCCTCCCTCCCTTGACCACGTCCTCGCGGCCCATGCCTTTTTGGCATCTTCTCCTTCCAACTCTTTCTTGCTTTCATCTTTCTGCGCCCTGTACATTCTGCACCCATTTCTGAGGCATTGTTGCCAATGCTTTAAAACGTGGTCCGGGCGTGGGCCACACTTTCGACATTCCCTCGGGAACCATCCCAAGCCTTCTTTGTCACCAAAGTGTGTTTGGCAACCGTCATCGTAGCATACCGTCCATGACATGGCGTTATGCTGTGCTTGTTGTTCCCTTTCCTTAAGTTCCTTATCGGTTGGTCCCATGAATGAGTATTTGGGGCTGGTGGGTGTGGTTTGGTAGGGGCTATCGCCCTAGCCCTCGTGTTGCTGCAACAGCGCGGGAGTTTTTTCCTCTCCTTTGTCTTGGTTGAACGTGATCGTCACCTGGGCCGGGCTTGCCTGGGTATCACTGGTGGAATGTTGAGATGGCATCTTGTGCATTTTCGAAGTTGTGTACGAAGTACCAAGTTTTGTCGTGTTCAGGAGAATATCCTGTCCACTTGACTCGGTATTGGAGGTGACCGTGGAATAAGCGGGAATCGACTATTTTGTCAAGCTCGTATTCTGGTTCTCCGTCGAGTTCGATCGGAGGGGGAGGAATAAGTGTTTGTGAAGGAAACCTATTGTCGTTGTGTAGTTTGAAGAGTGAGATGTGGAATGTATTGTGTATTTGCATTGAGGGGGGAAGGTCGAGTTTATAAGCTTGGCTGCCCACTTTTTCCAGTATCCGGAATGGTCCTATTTTCTTGTAGTCCAATTTCTTTAATGGTCGCGTTGTATGAATATTGCATGGTGTTAGCCATACCAAATCTCCTGGTCATATGTTCGGATCTGGTCTTCAGTGCTTATCGTATTGTTCCTTCTGTCGTTGTTGTGCTTGACTCATTTCGTATTGTAATGTTTCGTGTAGTTTCCCCATATCAGTTTTATCCGGTATCACATTATTAATTGTATGATATGTGGTCTGACTTTGTGGATGTTGTCCGTAATTTGCGAAGAAGAATGTCGTGCCAATTGTTTCTTGCTTTCCATTGTTGTATGCAAATTCGGCCATAGATAACAGCTTGTACCAATCATCTTACTGATAATTGACATAGGCCCTTAAATATTGTTCGAGTATCGCATTTACCCGTTCCGTTTGTCCATCTATTTGTAGGTGGAACGCTGTGCTCATTCTGTTTTGTATTCTCATTTCTCAGGTTACTTTCTTCCATAGTCCCAATGTGAATAGTATTCCTCAATCGATAATGATATTCTTTGGGAGGCCGTGAAGTCGAAAGACCTCTCGGAAGAATGTTTGTATAAAATCCCTCGTGTTGATGTCTTTTCTAACTGGAATGAAATGAATCATTTTGGTCAGACGATCCACCACGACCAGGATGCTATCGCAATTTTCCGATGTTGGTAGGTCCGTGATGAAATCAATAGTAATTGTTTCCCATGGTTGTTCAGGGACTTCGTTTGATTTTAGTAATCCATATGGTACGTGTTTAGCCGTTTTCGTTCTCTGGCATATGTCGCAGTTTTTGACATATCATTTGACATCTTCGCGCAGTCCTGACTAATAGAATGACCTCGTGATGAATTCCGTGGTTTTAGCCGTTCCTCCGTGTCCTGCCGTTCGGATATCATAGTGTTGTCGTATGATGTCTGTCCTTATCTCCTCTTCTTCCGGGATCTATTGTTTTCCATCGTACCACATATTTCCGTCCTTCCATTGGCATAACCCCAGTGCAATTCCTTTCATTTCCTTTTTTCCTTCTTCCAAGGCTTCTCTTATTGCCTGGATTGTTTTGTCTTTCTCGTTTGCGTTCTCAATTCCTCTTTCCTCCTTTGATGTGAATTGGATAACCTCCATTGCCTCGAAGTAGGTTTTTGGTAATAGGGTCTGTGTTTTTTGTTTGATCCTTTCGTCTTCTTTTGTTTATGGTTTGTCGCTTGCAATCCTTGTGAGAGCATCTGGCTTTCCACTTTCTTTGCATGGTCGGTATTCGATTTTGAAGTTGTATTTGCTGAGGTGTTCCATCCATCTTATCTGGCGATCGTTCAGTTCTTTCGTAGTCATGAACGGCACCAGGTTCTTGTGGTCGGTTAGAACTCGGACTGGATGTTTGTTGTTCGAAACGTATCTTCTCCATTCTTTTAATGCTTGAACTATTGCTAATAGTTCTTTGTTTGCAACATTGTAGTTGCACTCTGCGGGTGTCATTGTCTTGGATCGATAGGAC